CCCCAAAACCCCAAAACCCCAAAACCCCAAAACCCCTCCAGAAAATCTTCAAATTGAACCACTAAATTTATCTCTCAGCCATTTTCATGATTTCTTCAGTAATAGAGCTCTTCTGGATCGCCTTATTAACCCTCTTCTTGTTCTTGTATTCTTTAGAAAAATCTTTGAGGTTGAAGCCCTCAGAAGGATCTAGCTCAATATCCTTCATAGTGTGGTTATTGACAGGAAGCTTAATGAAGGAAGATGGCAAGAATATCTTGTTAAAATGCTCAAAAACAGTATTATGCACACAAAATTCAATACTTGCTTGTTCTACCAAGGATTCAGAGTTTACAAAGTTGTCTGCATAGCCTCTCAAAGTATCCTGAAACTTAAGACCTTCAAAATAGCAATTACTTAGCACAAGAGGTTTGTGGCTGGCCATTATGTAAGGAGGTTTCTCTGGGAGTCTATCCACATCGAGCAAGAGATCAATTAAACCTTCCTCATCTTTACCCTCTCCTATCATAAACAAAACAGTCATGGTGAATCTGATCTGGTGCCAGAGAAAGGCTGATCCTCTGATCACTCACACGTACATATTAAGATGATCTGAAGCCCCTTCTCCAAAGACAGGAAGGAACTTTATAGAAAATATTCTCCTGATAAAGTTTTGTTCTTCTCCCTCTTCAAAATTCTCTTCGTCATATTTCTGGCAAAAGTTGCGAAAATCATGACATCCAATGAGCTTGTCAGCTGCTAATTTCATTTTCTCCAAATTCATGTCCTTTAAGTTGAAGAAATATTTGTATTCTCGATAGAGACAGCTGAACCTAGCATCAAAATATGGCTGGACTTCTGCATAACCGTTAACTCTGATATCTTCGGGGAGAATTCCATTGATCATTGTTGAGTAGATCCCAATGGTATCTAGATCTCTCTCATCCTCTTGTGGAGTCTCTTCTTCACCCTTATTCTCCTCTTTTTGTTCTTCCCTAATTTTTATTTTTTTCCTCTTTTTGTCAAGATTCCTTACGTTTAGTGAGATTACATTTCCTAGCGCACTGACACCTCTATCCGTCCTTCCACATCTCGCATAGTCCCAATCCCTCGGCCTATCCCCTCTAACCAGCTTCAGCTTCTTAAAGGCTTGAAAAAGATGTTCCTCAATAGTATTCGCCGTATTCTAAAATAACATATCCAAAATACCGCTTGCACTGCTAATCCCGAGTACTTAAACCCAATATAACTAAACTTGAACGCTACTTTCCTCATTCCCTACATCCATTACCACCTCAGTACAAATCCCAGTCAAAAAGTCCCAAATTTACTCACATATTCTTCAAAATCGATCTGTTTCTTCCTATTCTTCTTGGCTTTCTTCGTGTTCATTAGAATCTTAAAATTTATTTGTTCGATGGGGTTTTGGGGTTTTGGGGTTTTGGGGTTTTGGGG